TGTCTAGCTTCAGAGCCACATTAGAATTAGGATCGTTCTTGTTCATGTTGTGAATCATTTCCTGAGTCAAGATGATATTCTCTATAATTGATCTCCCCTTCATAAAACCAGTTTGATTATAGGACACTAATTTATTGATAATCTTGGAAAGCCTACTATTAAGCATCGTGGAGATAATTTTGCAAGAGAAGTTACTCAGGCTAATAGGCCTCATCTCAGAGAATTCTTGAGGAGATTTGACCTTAGGGACAAGAATCAAGCAGGAGTGCGATATAGATCTAGGAAGGCAACTCCCATTGAAGAAGTCTAAAATCATATTGTGCAGGTCCTGAGCAATGATATCCCAACAATGATGGTAGAAGAGCCCTGACATACCATCTGGCCCAGGTGCACTGTCAAAACTCATGTCAAAGACTATCTCTTTTAGCTCCTGAATAGTCGGATATGCATGTAGCATATCATTGTCCTCACTAGCAACCTTAGAGGGTAGACACTGAATTAAGGAGAGATCCCTATTAAGATTCTCCTCGGTAAATAAATTTTCAAAAAATTTGACTGCTTCGTGGCCGATATTGTTCTGCCCTTCAATCCAAATTCCTCTATCATTCTTAATTCTACTCAGTTTTAGCCTCTGCCTTCTAGAAGAAATAACTTAATGAAAGAATTTGGTATTGAGGTCACCTTCAGCATGCCATTTAATCCCAGACTTTTGTCTCAAGAAGGCTTCTTCTATCTTGTAGTGTCTAATAAGTTGAGCATTGGATTCATTGAGCCTGACTATATTCTCAACAGAGTTGTCATGAATACAAATGTCTTCTAGCTCTGCTACCTTCTTTTCTTTATCCTTATTAATAGCAAATATGTCCCCTACAGTATTTTTAGACCATCAGGAGAGGCTCTTACATGTGTTTTTCAACTTAAGGTGGAACTTCCACATAGGAAATCCCTCCACTTGAATTTGCCAAGCTTGTTGAACAATCTCCTTAAAACCAGGTTCATTTACCCAAAAATTTAAGAATTAAAAATATTTAGGGGGCTGATAATCATTACTACCAACAACAATTAGAAGAGGAGCATGATCCGATCATGTTCTGACCAAGTGGGTAACCGTGGTGTTGGGGAATTTTGAGAGCCATTCCTGATTTGCAAGAGCTCTATCTAGTCTCTGCCATATCCTTTCTGATGGAGTTTTGAGGTTGCACCACGTGTATGTAGAGCCAATATAACCAAGATCATTTAATTCACAGTTTGTCATGCATTCGATTAAAGGGAGGCTCTTTTCCATTATGTGAGAATTACCACCAATCCTTTCAGATGGTTCAATAATACAATTGAAGTCACCCATGACCATCCATTCCTTCATGTGGTTCGAATAAGTCTGCCTCAGCTCTTCCCATAGTGGTTCCCTGAGAGGAACCTTGCTTTTAGCATAGATAGTAGTGATGGTGATGTCCTTTTCCTCACTCTCTAGTGAACATGTGAGTTGTTGCTCACCATCAGAGAGAACCGAGAGAATAAAATCCTTGTCTGAGAATATCCAAATCTTATTATTGCAACTAGCATAAGCATAGTGATATCCTAACCAATTCTTGTATTTGTCAAGTTTAGACCTTTTGCGAAAAGGTTCTTGAATGGCTGGCCATGAAATTTATTTTGTATTGCTTCATAAGCATTTTCAGTCTCTCAATGGAGGTCTTAATGCCCCTGATATTCCAACATAGAGATCTAATCATGAAAGGTGAGTTTAGGTTGATTAGTATGGACTTGCTAGTTGTGTTGCCTCTGCCTCCTCTACCCCTAATGCTTTCTCTGCCTCGAATAGTAGATGTAGTACCTCTCTCTGATAGGTTTGCTCGATCTGTAATGTCACCGAAAGCTTGTGAAATAATTGGATCATAAACCTGATGTCCAGTAAAAGCTTCTACTTACCATCACTGAAGGGTCCTTATTCTATGCTCTTATAATTGCCTTCGTAACTACTAGATTCCACCCCTGAGCTATCCTCATCACTATCTGAATCTGAATTACCTAGCTTATATTCACTACCAAGGACCTCTTCTTCTTCATCTAAGGAACTAGACATTTGGATCTTGGGTGTTCTGTGTGCAGCTGAGATAATAGCCTCCTTAATAATTTGATTCTTAGACATCTGGTTGTTGTTTTTTGGTATATTTTGTGATGTAAGTTTTTTCTTCATTCCATAAGTGCCTTCTTGTGTCATATTGAGTGTCACCACATTGAGGTGATCATCCTGTAGAATGTGGTCTGAATGGACTATATCGTGAGTTCTATGTTCCTGTTCACTTTGATTCTGATATTCATCTTGCCTTTCTTGACTGTCAATGTGTTCTCCCAGAATCTGGTGTTGTTGACCTTGATCCTTTTCTATTTGATTTTGTATTGCTGCCTACTCTCTTTGCTGGCTTCGCTTCTTATCTCTTCATTCTTTTCTTTTGTCATTCTTCTTCTTTGACTTCTCAGTACTTGTATGTTTGTCAGCAGCATATTTGTGGGGTGCATAAGATATTTCATGTGCCGTGTTGTGGTTATTCTGCTGCTGCTCCTTGCTACTACTCCTTGTAATTTCCCTTTATTGATTCTTGGTGACAACTGGTTTTATCGGTTGGCTTTCAGAATTTTCTAAATCTTTGTCCTTCACCTCAGTAGTTTGAGCTCTATCTTTAGTCATAAAAGGTATATTGGAGTACCTGTTGTCTGCTTCTTTGCTCACTTGAGTATTGTTACCAGAGTTGTTGTGTCTAGCCTTGTATGCTCCATTTGTAGTGATAATGGAAAACCATTTTCGTGATTAATAGGCATGTCATCATTTCTTTCTGTTTTCTTCTTTTTTTCAGCATCCTTTTGAGCCTCTTTTTGATCTTTAGCCTTTTCACGCACAACTTTAGTTCTGCAGTTGGCTTCAACATGCCCTTGGAGTTTGCAGTAAGAACAATAACCGGAGACATTTTCATATTATATGTCTAGCCAAACACCATCTTCCCCTCCTTTCGGCCTATTAAAGCCTAGCCAAATTTGACCTAACTTTTGGCTTTAGTAAGTCTATTTCAACTTTTAACTTTGGCAACATTTCCCCAAGACTTGGAATATGTTGCTTGATTTGGAGCAATAGCAACATCAACAGATTCAAGAATTCTAGAAAGTACATTCCATCTAAAGAGATGCCATGGTAATTTATTCACCAGAATCTAGACATGGACGATGGTTGTCTCAGCTTCAGGCTTAAAATCGGGGGTCCATTTAAGGACCTTCATAGGATAATCTCCAAAGTAGATATAAGGCTTAAAGTAAATATGCTTGTAATCGGTCTCACTGGTAAAATCAATGTAAACGGTTTGAGAATCTACAAAAGCAATTTTGACCGAACCTTTCAAATGGAATTGAGTGACGAATTGTTTCCTGAGATCTTCCATAGCTGGTTTTCCTCTGTAAAATTTTCCCACTATTGTCATTTTGCAATCTTGGGCCAGATTAATGAAATAGTCTTGCGCACTGAAGAAAACAGTTGGTTTGCCCAAATGTGTGCAATGTCTAATCTCAATTTGGTTAACATTGGCCATGTCTTTGGTTTGAACTGCAGCAGCAAAGGCAGGCTTTGATATCACCTGTGTGTTTGGTCGATTCCCAGCATTGTTAGTTAATTTAGGTTCAGATGAGCTAGGGATATCGGGGTGAATTTTTTGATTTTGCTGGTTTGTATTTGTTTGTTTGGTCGTGTCTCCCTGCTTCATTGCTTCAATAAATGAAGGATCTTCAGGCAGCTCGACTGAATCATCAAAGTGCAGGTTCTTCCTCCTTGAAGTTGGTCGATCAAAATTTGTCAATATTTTCGGTGGTGGAGGAATTTGCTTTTGTGCATTGTTACTGATTTTGGCATTTACAGTGGATTCACCATTAGCGGACAACTCAATGTTATTTGGTGTCACTTCCGGTGGTGTTAAACTGGGTTTGGTGAGTGGTGGTGGCGGTGTTCTGGTGTGGTGTCGAATTCTCATTGGGTTTGGATTGTTGGGGAGTGTGTTGATCTGACATAGTAGCTGTTGGTTGAAGGGGATCGGGGGGTACAGGAGGGATTGATACCATAGAGAGGAGAAACCTTGTTTGAACTATTTAAACTATGCTTTAGAATCACAGTCATATCACATTTGAACTATTTAAACAATTTTACTCTTATTTCTTTCAAAATAGTTAGTTTTAGTTTTTTTCAAACCATGAAATATGTAAGAACGTCATGAAAATAGAAAAATATACTTTTAACAAAATTAATTAGGTACCTAAAACTTCCATGCTAGCAATTATGCTCTTTTGTTTTTGCTTATAGTCACGTTAGGAAATGGCGTTTTCACAAAATGTGTATCTCCGACTATAAGTACTTCATCCGTCTCGTTCATCTGATGATGTTTAACACTACACAAAGTTTAAGAAAAAAATAAAACTTTTCAAATTTCTAGTGTAAACAAGCTCTAGATATGGGACAAATTAAAAAGCAAAGTATGATGCACAAATTGAGATAGATTGAGTTGTTCCTAATGAGTACTCCCTCTATTCCAAATTATTTGCCATGTTTCATTTTTCGAAAGTCTAACCTTGTGAACTTTGACCAATACTTTAAAATATTTTTCTTAATCGTCTTGACACGAGAAAAGTTGTAACTTGTAATATTTTTCTTATAATTTTTGAATATCCAAATTTTAATTTAAAAATATTTAGTTGATTTAATCCAATTTAATTTTGACGATTAGTCAAATTGACTCTCAAACGTGAAACATGACAACTAATTTGGGATGGGGGAGTGCTATTTTTTACACAAAAAAAGTTACTCTTAAAAAATATACTTCTAGAAATGAAGGATAATGAACAAGAACAGGAAAAGAAAAAGAAAGAAAAAAGAAAAGGAAAAGTCAATAAAAGAAAGGTGAAAGGAGAGAAATGGGGAATATTAGAATTTTAGAACAGTTTTCCCGCCCAAAAACAAAAAGCGAAAATCTCAGTACTTTTATAACGCCAAAAATCTTTTAAAGTTTTAACACAATAAATATACCCTAAATGTGAAAATTTGAAGAACATTAGCGATCTTCTTCTACTCAGTGATTGCCAGGGTTTTTCTCTTCTTCTGCTCAGTGATTGCTAGGGTTTTTCTTGTGAAGAATAGAGACAGACAATGTCATCAATGAGTGGTTCCTCTCCGCTTTCTCTTTCTAAATCGGCCACTACTACTTGTGCCACTCTTCTTCAACAATTGCAGGTATTCAATTCAAACGCCTCCTCTTCTTCTTTTTCTTTTTCTTTTTCTTTTTATTTGTTTGAATGTGATTTTGAAAGTGATTTTTGGTCCTCTTTTCTTTTAAAAAAATTTCTTTTGGATACCCAGAGCTTTTTTGTGGAGTAGGATTGCGTTGTAGGGAGATACTATAGGGATAGTAAATTGTATTCTTGAGTATATTTATTCAACCAGTTTTTAGGTTCTTGTGCTTTCTATTCGTGTTTCCTTTTTTTTTTTTTTTTAAATGTGTGGGAGATGCAGTAGGATTTGTTGAGAATTAGCCATAACTTCGTTGATTTAGTAAAAATGTATGTTTTAAAAATCAAATGGGTTTGTTCTTGTAGTTGCTCTCTTCTTTTTTTCTCTTCTCTTTCTGGTATACGCACATACATACATATTTGCACTCACACACACACACGTACATAAGGAGAAGATCTAAGATTTGTCGTAGATAAGAGTTGTATACGACAGGCTTGACCTTTGGGGTTTCAGTGGTATATGGTTGGATATGCCAATAACCGGTGTCTTCTTGGTTCCACAAATGAAATTGAGAAGAATCGATAGTGAAGGAGAGTTCTTAAAGTAGAAATCTCTTGGTTGTTGGTTGAATGAATTGAATGTTTCAACAGTTTGTAAAAAATGTCTTTTGCCAGATTTAGGTTGATCTGTTATATTCTCTATGGGGTCCTGTTTGGCATCTTAGGTATGCATGTCGATAGCTTGGATATTCATGTATCTCTGCATTCTTGTTGCTCTATTCTTTATTAGTGTATCTGTGTCTGTAATATTTTTTAATGGAAGTCCATGTTTTCTTAATTGGAGAATGACGCATTTTGTTCCTACTTTCCCACTTGTGTCAGTATCGACACCCATAAGAATATATGTTCTTTCTAGTTTATTTCACCTGCTGAATTTTCACTTATATTGTAGTAGAATCTAATCAAATAATCTTTTTTTGTCTGAAGGAAATATGGGATGAGATTGGGGAGAGTGACAGCGAGAGGGACAAAAAGCTTCTTCAGGTTGAGCAGGAATGCCTTGACATTTACCGTAGAAATGTAGAGAAAGAGAGAAAATACAGAGCTGAATTGCATCAGTCATTAGCTGAGGCTGAGGCAGGAATTTCCAAACTTGTTTCTGCCCTTGGAGAACAAGCTTCTTTGCCATTGGTTTGTCCTTTGTTTCCTTAGAATTGTTAACCTTCCATTATTCAGGTTTAATATTTTTAACTTATAATTTACTTTTTTCCTTCCTTTTTAGTCTGAAAAGATGAAAGGCACCCTTAAGCAGAAATTGTCTGTCGTTGATCCTGTGTTAAAGGACATTAGGACAAAGAAACAAGAAAGGATTAAGGAATTCTTGAACATAGAAACGCAGATAGCGGTGATTTGTGCAGAAATAGCAGGAAATGACAGAGTTATTGGTCCCACAGATATTCAAGTAGATGAACAAGACCTGACAGCTAAGAGATTGGGAGAACTGAAGTCACATCTTCAGGAACTTCAGTCTGAAAAGGTTCCTCAACTGATTTTGCTGCCTCTAATTTTTACTGGATAGACAAATGACTTATCATTTCAATTCAATCTGTTAACTTTCGTCCTTTTCTGCAGAAACTCCGTTTGCAACGAGTGAATAGCTATATGAGTGAAATTCATGAGCTTTCAGTTGTTATGTCACTTGATTTCAAGCAGATAATAGCTAATATCAATCCAAGCTTAGCGAATCATATGACTGTACAATCAAAGAGCATAAGCAATGAAACACTTGCTAGCTTGACCAGTGAAGTCATCTCACTAAAGCAATTGAAACAGCAACGGCTAGAAAGGGTGGGCGAATTATCAATCACAATCTTTCCAGTGTTTTGCACTTCACATTTAGTGGAATAGTCTCTCTAAAATGTATAGGGAGCAAAGTTGCAGGCTTGTTTTTAATTCGAATTGAATACACTTGCATGAATGCGTATCATATTAATGTACCTACTGTGCATTCACCTTCCTGTTTACAGCACTAAATTTGATAACGTGCAAGTACTGTTCCGTAGCAGTCTCTAGTCACATGACATTTTGAAAATTGTATTGCTGTAACTCAAATTTCGGCTAAATTGCATGAAATGATTAACAGAATGGTACTTGCTACAAAATGTTAACAACTAAGAATTTAGATGGATAAGCATGACTGAGAATTGTTTGGAATTTGTTATTCTGCTTTAATGTCGTTAATTTCAGATTTAGACTACCCTATTTAGAATGCACCTGTTAATATTGATTCCATCAGCAGTCTAGCTGTTTATTTGATGGAACTTTATCCCTTTCCTTTAAATGATAAAGTCCTCTGTTTCTTGAAACCCGATTTCTGGAGAAGGTCCAATTTATTTTTGTTTATACATTGTGGTGATTGACGCTCGGTCATTTGGAACCTTCCCCCTTGTTTGATTTGGACATTAGACCCATGTTCCAGTTAGTACACCTGTTTTATGAAGTGTATAAAATGAACTATGGATATTTCTACACACAAGATAGTATATCTTCGGTATTTCAAGGTCAAGAAAATGTTGGAAGCCAGTTTGGTTAATCTTTAGGGTATTTCTTGTCCCGTTTGGAAAACTAGATTAGCACTTAAATGTCTATACTGGCATACACTTAATGCTGATACATATATAAAACTTAACCTTATCAAAAATGATGTTGATTCTTTTTCATTTTATTTTATTGGTGAAGCTTCAAGATCTTGGCAGCTCCCTAATAGAACTTTGGAACCTCATGGACATGCCAATGGAGGAACAACTGAAGTTTAACCATATTACTTCCTTAGTTTCTTCCTCTATTGATGAGGTATCTAAACAAGGATCTCTTGCCATTCACATTGTTGAGCAGGTACATTGAATCATTATTCCTTTCTCTTTTCTCATCTTAGTCTTTGGGGGATATGGGAAGAAATCTTGCGAAGATATTCTTCTGGTTTTCATTTCAGCTAACCTACTTTCTCTGCAGTCTCTTACTGCTTCTCATTTCTATCTTGGTAGGTTGAAGTGGAAGTTGAGCGTTTAAATGTTCTAAAGACCAGTAAGCTGAAGGAATTGATATTTAAGAGACAAAATGAGCTCGAGGAAATCTATAGGAGTGTTCATATGGATGTAGATAGTGAGACTGCACGCCAGATTTTAATCCAGCTTATGGAGTCTGGTACATTCAGTTTACTTTACCCTCATTTCTGTTGTGTGACTTGATGGGATTTAACTGCTTCTTTCTTGAAACAAAAGTTAATTTCTCTTGAAAAATAATTTTTCTCTTGAATTATTCTGGGTTTTTTTTATTTTGTTTCAACTTTCAACTTATAGTTTGTTCTTCTATTGTTTAAATTATTTGTGCTGGGTTTTAAGTGAGAAAGCTGTTAAATTCATTTGGGATCTTTTAGCTGTGGTTTGTATGTTTTTTGGTAGAGGCAAGTTTGTGGGGGTGATTCTGAAAAGTAATGGTTGGTTTGGATTAGCTTTCATGTGTTGACAAGGGAAAGAATCTGCCATCTCTCAGTCTCGCCTGCTATAAATTGCATTTTGACTGTGTATTAGGCTCTTCACTTGGAAAAGAACAGTTAGTGTGAGATCTAAGTCCTCATGTTGGAGATGATATAGTCCTTGATGGCATGTTCTGCTCTTGCATATCCCTTCTTTTGAACGGTCAACTCCGAAGGAACTTTTGTTGGTTATAGCTTGAATTAGCAGTCAAAATGTCTATCAGAAATAGATTGTCTCACAATAGATGAGAAGATTAAAATCTTCAAAGAACTATTTCCAGAGGTTCTGAAGGGCCTCTAAATGAGTGGTCAACTGCAACATGAGAAGATAGGGCATTAACCTATGGTCGATGTGAGGAGGCCTTACCTCTTAGATGGCCCAAGCAAGTCATTAAACTATTGGATGGATCCTCCTAATTGTAGTTACATAAGGTTGAGTAGTGGACAGATGAGGGCAACAGTTCTAATTAAGCTGAAGCTTTTCAGAGCAAAGCAAGTCTACAAGGTGCCATTGCAGTTACTTAGTACTTAGGTCAAGAGTCCCGATCTTAGTAGCCTTTATTCCCCTCCTCGCAAGACGATATGTTTTTGTCCCTCATTTTTGCTCTCTTTTTTTTTCTCTTCATGAATGGCTCCTTATTATCTTTGGTGAAAGAATATATACGAAAATTGCTGGGAGAAAGTGGTACTGTCAATATCAATTGACAGTTCACAACTTTGATACTAATGATTCAAAAGAGGACATGCACTTTTTTAGCTGAGTTGTACTTTCATTCTCGGTTTCTGTTGAACTAGTTCAGTAACACACCAACCCATACTCCGAAGCAGGAATACAAATGTTTCCAGGCCTCTTGCATCTTAGCATGTCTATTGTTATCATCAGTTGAATTGAAAGATAGATTTCATTTGTATTAGGTTTGCGTTCTCTTATACATTCTTTTATTATAATCCAATACAGGCAGTGATCTCTCTTATCTTCTTTCAAGCATGGATGATCAGGTGGTGAAAGCCAAAGAGCAAGCTGCTAGCAGGAAAGAAGTTTTGGATAAAGTGGAGAAATGGAAGCATGCATCTCAAGAGGAAAGCTGGCTTGATGAGTATGAAAAGGTATAACATTGACATAAATATAGGTGTTTACTTTTGCATTGTACTCAGTTATGAATCATATGGAGCACCTGTGCATAAAGGACAATAATGATGCATTTGAATTTATCTCTTTCATTTTCGTCTCTTTTTTTTTTTATCCTTTTTGCACCCATCCTTCAAACATTCTAAGATCCTTATATTGTAGGTCAACTTTATATCTTTCAAAGATATGTCATAATCTAATACCTGTTGCAAGCTACTTAGGGAAGTTTGGCATGTCAAGCTTAGTGTTGCCAGAAGTCTGCTTGTGAAGCTCAGTGCAGTGTGGAGTTGGTGCTTCGCCTCACTCTGAATGCGCTTCAGCATACACCGTGTACATTCACGAGCATGTCTTAAAAGAGGACGGACAACGCTAAATAATTAATAGAGTTTTCAAAGCAATATCTTAATTACTAAGATTTGGATAAATATGTTAGAATTTTGGCATATGAAATTAGAAATTGAAACGGAAATTAGCAACTAATATGAATCATAATTTAAAAGTGTTTTGAATTAGATTGACATGGTTTAAAATTCATTCCACTTATTGCGGTGTTTCAATATTTTGGGTCGATATGATTATAGTTGTAGCAACAACAACAACAACATACCTAGTATTATCCTACACCGTGGGGTTTGGGGAGAGTAGTGTGTACGCAGACCTTACCCCTACCATGTGAGGATAGGGAGGCTGTTTCCAATAGACCCTCGGCTCAGGAACATGATTATAGTTGTAGAACTAGCAATTTTTCTTCTTTTGGTTACATATAATTTTTGATTATTTTTTTCATCTACGTCCTTTATTGACTTAAGCTAACACTTCAATTGTACTTTGTGCTTAAAGACCTGGCAAACAGATGGAATTATAAGCTTTTTATGATAACAGTGGTCAAGCTAGAAAAGTTACATAGGCATGCCTTGCTTGCTTTTTCTAAGTTGTTTGTGCTTATAGGCTGGTCGCAAATGCTGTGTTGTGCAGTCAAGTAGTGCTCATAATTGCTTATATCAATCAGTCTAATTATTCATTTCTGTAACTAAAAGTTGGACATTAGTTGGATGTGCTCCCACAAATTGTTTTGGGTGCTCTCTGTGATACCCCAGATAAACTGACCCTTTCTGTGTTCCATGCTTCTTATGTTGGCATAAAATCTGAAACGTATGTGCAGTCTACAAAACTAGGTGATATTATGTTTACTCAATTTGCTCATCCCTTCATCTCTATCATTTACTTGAATCATGAGTCTTTACCTTTTCTTATTCCCTGGATGACTTGACTAGTTTTACTTCAGGCGTTTTGATGGTGTAATAGTTCTGATGCTGTATAAGATACAGTTTGCAACTTGACTTCCCACTAAATCATGATTCACTTGTTCTAACTAACAGGATGAGAATCGTTTTAGTGCCGGGAAAGGTGTCCACATCAACCTGAAACGTGCAGAGAAAGCGCGGATTTTGGTCAGCAAACTACCATGTGAGCCTGTACTCATTTATCTCATGTGATGTACACCTCTTCCCTCGCCCTCTCCTGACCGACCACTATTAGTAGCTTCGTGAAGCCCTACTGTTCCCTTCTGGAGGATAATCCTATGCATAATTGTGGATCTATATTAATTACTTATACGAAGAAGCTTCTTGCTTTTGCTCGTTGTCCCATCGTTTTCCTTTTTTTATTTCCTATCTTCAAATTTTTTCTCTTTTTCTGGTAATAAACATACTAGTTCACCTATTTCTCTTTGCATTCTTTTGGTCCATTGGGTTGGTTGTCTACTCTGGAAACTAAATATTCAATGTCAGAGAGTGCTTGGTACTTGAAGTTAAAGTACCATTCAGGTCTACTCATTTGGTTTTTCTTTTTATTGTTCCATGTTACTTGGTATATTATGTTAATTTCATTGATCAGTTAAGCCGTGCTCGTAGCCCTTATCTAAGGTGGTGATCACCCAGTATATTAATGAAGAACCTAGTAAATTTTAAGTTCAGGTCTATTCTCAGCACATTGTAAATTTTAATAATCTAAAGTATGTTTGAATATTCTTTCTATATCAGCAATTATCATATACTGACTGAAAAAACCTATAATGCAGCTCTTGTTGAAAACTTGACTGCCAAGGTAAAGGCCTGGGAGAAGGAGAAAGGAATGCCATTTTTGTATCACAAAGTGAGTTCAACATTTTCTTTGTTCAAGATGATATTATGTTGTGGCAGTACCTTCAGACCATGACTGTTTTGTGTCTAGGACCCTCTGTTGCATACTTTGGAAGAGTACATCATCTCGCGGCAGGAAAAACAAGAAGAGAAGCGTAGATCTCGGGTATCACTTTTTATTCTCTTGTCTGGTACATGTTTCTGAATCTTTTTGTTCCGACGTTAGAGAAGAACTACTCTTAGCTGAGCAAGGGTCTATCTCATCAACTTTGCTTTGTTATGTTGTCGTTGATTTTGATAGATAATTAGCACTTCTAGTTAAACTGTTGGATTTTTGTTGGTTGCTTTGTGATTGTGATTGATATGTTGTGTTAACTATCTATTAGTATGTATGCTTGAAACTGAATTGTGTTGGATGTTTCAACTGCGCATACCATTGTCAATATAGCACAGGAGTTAGATTTGGATGCTTGGATGATCAACTAGTGTATATATTTCAGGAACAAAAACGGCTCCAAGATCAATTTGCTGCAGAACAAGAAACAATCTATGGTTCAAAGTCTGTCAAGAAACCTCTGGGTAATGCTAACACAATACTTGGTACTCCAAATAGTCGTCGTGTATCTACACCTTCAGGTCGTTATGGTGCGTCCATAGGGAAGGAAAAGAGAGGGAGCGGTAATGTTGGTGCTGTAATACCTGTAAACTACGTAGCTGTTGCAAAAGATGATCAGAAATCTGGAGGATTATAGACTGAAATTGTGACTTGTAGAAAGATCATACATTCTGCTGATTTTGCACAAACTAAGCCATTCGTCCTGTGTGGTAGTATAGCATATATTAGAATAAAAGGCCACGCATATTCATTATTCTTTTCCCATTTACAGAGGTTTTAGAAGTTCTGCTATGAACTGGGGCCTGAAATGCGTATATCTTGTTCATTTTCTTTGCAGAATTTTCTTATCAGATGTCTGGTAATTTGGCCTTACTGTTTGGACATAACTTTAACCAAATATTATTTGCAAATATTGAAACATTATTTACAAATTAGTGAATTTGAAGTTGAAAAACTGTTTGAGGAGTATTTCAAGTGAAATAATAGTTTTTAGTCACAGAATTTCAACTTATTTTCAAATGAAATTTATGTCCAAATGTAACAGCAATACAAAATTTGTTGCGAACTACATTATCCTTGCGAACTACATTAGATTGCTGATAATGCAGGTTCAGAGTTTGAAAACGAGAAATTGTACAAAAACCTATTTGATCATAAAAGAATGTTAATAATGGGGAGTTATAAAGTAGCAGCTTATGCGCTTTGTGAATTTGTTTGCTTTTTCTAAAGTCAGCAAACTTTTGATGTAATTTGTGAGATATCGCTTCGCAAAAAGAAAAGAAGAAATCTTATTGCGAGATTATTACTATTATTCACTCATTTGATAACAACATATCCAATATATTCTTACATGTGGGATGGGGGAGGATAGTGTATACGTAGACACCCCTACCTAGTGAAGGTAGAGATGTTGTTTCCAATAGACACTCGGTTCAGAAAAGTGAGGAGGAGAAGAAGAAAAGGAGGGAGAAAAGAATAAGTAGTACCGGAAATACCATAACTTATTTTCTTCCTCAATATATACAATATAGTTGAATTGATTTAATTATCCGAATATCAGCTGTCATATTGATCAGTTCTCGAACTTTATGTGAGTCTCAGAAGTATAACATTACGATTTCGAGAGCTACACCTCACACAACTAACCAGAAACATTATAATTTTTTAATGAAGTTCTGGCTGATACTAAAATAAAAATAATTCAAAAGAAATTGGACTCCGGGCTGAAATTGTAGTAATAATTTGACTCTTCTTGTAACAACTAAGTCAAGCAAATAAAGTACAAAAAAAAAAAACAACACATTTTCTGGGAAGTTACTGTATGCACCTGGCTTATCCAATTCTTCCCCTTTGGGCTTTCTTTTACATGTCCACTGCAATTCGTTTATACAACTCCGCTGGCAATCTGGGAGTGGCATCAGCCTGTAATGGAGTCCTCATGTAGGTAACAAGCCCGGGGTTCTCACCCATATCAATCTCCTCTGGGCTCAATCCATTAGAAGGAGCCCAATGAAAATGGTGCAAAAGATGGCCCAACATAGAGGTGACCAAGTTGATACCCAATTGTGCCCCTGGACATACTCTTCTACCTGCACCAAATGGGAGTAGCCTAAAATCATGTCCCTTCATGTCCACATCTTCCTCAAGGAACCTCTCCGGTCTGAACTCCAATGGGTTTTTCCACACCTCGGGATCACGAGCAACTGCCCAGACGTTCACGTGCACGTTGGAGCCCTTGGGAATGTCGTAGCCACCAATCTTGACGTTGGCGTTGGCTCTGTGTGGGAGCATTAGAGGAGTTGGAGGGTGCAGCCTTAGTGCTTCCTTGGCCACGCATTGTATGTATGGGAGGTTGGGGAAGTCTGTTTCGTTCATCACACGCTCGTAGCCAACCACTCGGTCGAGTTCTTCTTGGGCCTTCTGCTGCACCCTTGGGTTCTTGATCACCTCAGCCATTGCCCATTCAACAGAGATTGCAGTTGTGTCCATTCCAGCTGTGATCATATCCTGCAATTTCAACGAGATCGGTTCAAAGTTCATCCCCAAAATGAAATAATAGATATTTCATTTGTCATTTTAGCTATTTTTGTGAATCAGAGCAATGCGAAGTGCCAAAAGACTGAATCTCATAGGAACGTGGCAACAATCATTTTAGCTCTTTTGTGAGGTAAGTGTATATTAATTTACTTACCCAAAGTAAGCCAATGAGAGTGTCTTCACTTAGGTCATATTTCTGTTGGAGGGTCAATAATGCATCAAAAAAGTGTTGCTTGGCTCCTCCACTTTGTTGGCGAGCAAGGGTGTGCTCCTCCATAATAGCTCGAGTGAGACGGTCTCTACGTGCTCCGTGCTTAGCAAAGGCGTCCTCGTCAATAGGGAACATCCAGCGAAGCCATGGGATGTGTTCGGCCATGGCAAGGGATGCTCCAAGCTTCAATCCATTAGCGACAATCGCCTTGAACTCGTTTCCTTGTTCATCCATCACACCTTCAAAGTTTACAAACCTCTTCCCAAAGGCAAGTCTTGTTATGTTATTAAAGGCCACTGCTCCAAGGTACTTCTTCACCAGCAGACTCTTCCCCACGTTATCTACACAAACACCATATTCTTAGGCATTTAATACCATATGCTTCACGGTTGAGTACTCAAGATTTTCATACTACTAGTTGTCCATAATATCATCTAATAGATAAGTAAAGGTAATTGTCCCATAAAAGTGTGATCAGCAGCCTAAAAAATAAAGCAAGATACCTGTTATAACGATTAAAATATATTAATAAGAAAAATTCTTTACATTGTAATGGTATCTATATCGTAATATAAAAAGGAGTAAGACACCAAATAATGATGCAACCATGATTTTTGCAGGGTGACCATAATGTCACGTGATCCTCACATGACACTGGCCAGACCAACTTAGCGATTATAGCGGGTCTTATTCAAAGTTTGGTGTAGCAGTATCAAGTAATATCATTAACCACCAAACACGTTTGCTAGTTAAGATGGTCACTATTCACCATTTCTTTTTCTTTTTGGAAAAAGTTAGGTTGATATTAGTCGACCGTCCATCTTAGTTGACCCATATCCAACAACCCCTATGGGTCCCAAATGAAAAAGAGAACCACCAAACATTCACCAAAAAACCTCAAACTCCTATAAAAGAAAGATAAGACTTATTTTCTTATCTACCTTCACGTACCTCAATACACTTTAAATACAATATACGGATAGTGTTTACGCAATTGGATCACCAAAAAGATAATAACATAGTTTCTCCATTTCAATTCACCAATATGTGGCAAGAAAAATGATCTATTTCCATAAGTAAAAATAATTTAACTTTATGCAATGATATATGTGACTCAATTTTCACCACAAATTCAAAAGTGTATCTTTTCTTAAACTATGTACCCAATGGAGTGAATACCATTATTTGTAAAAAAGTAAAATTAGTTATGGCAAATTAGTTGTTAAATTAGGTTAAAATACACCACCAGTATAAACCTTTTTTGCATTGTCATATATATAAAATTAAATTCACGTGAATATATCGAGGAAATCTGCATAGAACGAATAATAATAAAATCTCAAATTCCACAAACAAAAGAAAGGAACAATGCTTTGTTGAATATTCTGTAACATCCAATCATGTATATTTTATTTTTATTTGATAAGTCCAATCAGGTATATTTTTAAAAGAGCTAGATATTAAACTTTTCAAAAGTAATTAATAGACATCATTCTTAACACATAATTTTTCAATAACTTACTCAAATTTAATAGGGTAATTTAAGGCATGAATAATCTTCATTCAAAAGTTAAGGCGTGGCCAATTTTTTTATATGGTTTCACTCGATAATGTGTCTGAGCATCATAGCAATTATAAACTTGATAAAAAAGAAATTATACCAACTGAAAATACATTGAACATTAAAAGAAGAGGAAGTCAAAATTTTAGTAAAAACATACCAGGATTAGTGCAATCTCTGTAAATGGACTCTACCATAGCAGTGACCTCATCTTCTCGAATGGGCCTAAGGGCTTCAAGCCTTTTAGGCGTAAAAAGCTCAATCGTACAAACCTTTCTAACCTTAACATAATGAGGCCCATAATCAGCCCAAATAAGATCCTGCCCGTCTCTGCTAAACTTGGCCGCCGATCGGCTCCTGTGCCGGTCAGCCAACTGCTGGTCCTTTTCTTTCAGAACTTCCTTGGCTAATTCCGAGCTGGAAACGACGACGTTCAGGGTCGACCCGAACCAAACCGAAATGATCGGTCCGTAAGTTTGGGCCCATTCGTAAAAGCATCGGAACCTGACGGGCTTTATCTGGTACAGGTTTCCGACGATGGGCCGTGGACTTGGGCCCGGAGGAAGCTTGAATCGGAGACGATAGTAAAGGTGATAAGCTATAAATGTGAAAATGAAAGCTAAAGGAATTGCAGCAGCTAAAGAAATAGCCATTGTTAGGGATATTTGAGGAAAAGAAGGGTAGCTGGTGTTATATAAGAACTGAGACAGTGGGAAAAGGAAGGAGAAGAGAGTTGGTGAAGGGTATTTTAGTCTTTTAAGGAAACGGTAGTTGGTGCTTTTGGTGAAGAGTATTATCTTGATTTTAGAATATGGAATCTTGTGAAATTTTGATTGGTGAGGAAAGTGTATTTCAACGGGTGAGTTTATCTATTAATTTATTTTTTAAAGTTTTTTCCCTCTTAAGCAAGATATACAATATCCTTAATTATTACGGTATTTCTCTAAAATACCTTTTATTCCTTTATTGAATGTTCCATTAATTAGAACAATAAGGTTGAAATTTGAAGAACAAAAATAGTAGTAAAAACTTTTTTATAACGTTAAATATGTTAAAATAAATTAAGTTTATTTAAAAGATCAATACTCCGTAATAGGGATTGGATGGAGTATTTCATAATACTGAAATATAAATAGGAAAAAATGCTAAAAATATCTAACACCTTCCGTAGTTTTCTTATTTTATCCATTATATTGGATTTGTAGTAATTTGTAAATATGCATTAGAAATCTCCTTAAAACATTATTTCGACAAACTCTGACTATGTCTCCATCGTTGCAAGTGCTATTTGAATTTGGGTAATATGTATTACCCTTCTCTTTGTCTTTCAATGCCAATCTTAGTGACATGTATGATGTTTTGAATATTTTATCTTCTATGATAATTTTTACGAACTTGTTATATCATGACGTTACTGTGGATGTTCTTGTTGTATATGACAAATTTTATTAAACAAAACAAATGCACTTAGTTCACATTCGATCAAGCTATTTAATTAAGCATCGTGTCTCCACGGTTAATATAAACATACAGCGCATAGCAAGGTTTAATTTACATGATGCCTAAGAATTCAAATTCATGATTTAACCTTGGATTTAAATGATGAATATAATTAGTGAGAATCATATAGCTGATTCATCTTATTTGAAACTCAGGTATACTTATTATTGTTGTAAAGACAAATGAGCTATACACGAGCAATGGCTGAGCTAGGGAGGCGGAAGGGTTCATCCGAACCCCCTTTCCTCAAAAATTACACTGTGTATGTGAGGTAAAAAAGTAATTTATCTATACGTATGAGATGTTGAATCCCCTAAGTTTCTTCATATATTTAACTTTTTTATTTTTTGAACTACTTTATAAAAATTCGGGTTCCGCCACACATGAGCGCTAGCGCTAGTTGTTGGAAATACTAATGAAAGATTGGAAAACAATATGCCCGCCCATAGAACGATGTGGTTGGTAAAATGGACCCACCTTAAGTAGGTATCCAGTATGGAAGGTATAGCCAATGAAAGGTTTACAATTCTGTTTTTCCAAAGATGTGGGCAAACTCCACAAAAAAAAAAAGGGGGGGGGGGGGGGGGGAAAA